TGGTCGTGTAGAAGCCCGACACCACTCTACATTCTGGCCTCTTTTCAACCCTGGGTTGATTATGTCCAGTCCAGGGCTCCATCCGCCACCGTGCCCGTCTAGCCCAGAGCCCTCGCCGCTGGTCCGACCCAGCCCAGATCTTCATGTCACGCCTGCAGAGCCAGTCTTCGAGCCAGAGCCCGCTGATCCTGCGCCAGAGCCCGCTGATCCTGCGCCAGAGCCCGCTGATCCTGCGCCAGAGCCCGCTGATCCTGCGCCAGAGCCCGCTGATCCTGTGCCAGAGCCCTCTTCACAGCTGGTCCTGCCCAGCTCAAAGCCTTCACTGCTGGTCCTGCCCAGCTCAAAGCCTTCTTCACCACTGGTCCCATCCAGCACAGAGCCCGTCGCCTGCCCGCCAGAGCCTGAGACCGTCCAGCCAGAGCTTCACATCCTCCACGGTCCTGCGCCAGAGACCGTCCAGCCAGAGACCGTCCAGCCAGAGACCGTCCAGCCGGAGACCGTCCAGCCGGAGACCGTCCAGCCAGAGACCGTCCAGCCAGCTCTGGAGGACGCAGTGCTCCTTGTGGGATCCATGGCTGTTTTGTGTGTGTGGGCAGCACACACATGCATTACAGCCCATGAACCCAGCCCTGAGCTTCCTTCGCCGCTGGTTCCGTCCAGCCCTGAGCTTCCTTCGCCGCTGGTCCCGTCCAGCCCTGAGCTTCCTTCGCCGCTGGTCCCGTCCAGCCCTGAGCTTCCTTCGCCGCTGGTCCAGTCCAGCCCTGAGCTTCCTTCGCCGCTGGTCCCGTCCAGCCCAGAGACCCCTTCGCCGCTGGTCCCGTCCAGCCCAGAGACCCCTTCGCCGCTGGTCCCGTCCAGCCCAGAGACCCCTTCGCCGCTGGTCCCGTCCAGCCCAGAGACCCCTTCGCCGCTGGTTCCGTCCAGCCCAGAGACCCCTTCGCCGCTGGTTCCGTCCAGCCCAGAGACCCCTTCGCCGCTGGTTCCGTCCAGCCCAGAGACCCCTTCGCCGCTGGTTCCGTCCAGCCCAGAGACCCCTTCACCGCTGGTTCCGTCCAGCCCAGAGACCCCTTCACCGCTGGTTCCGTCCAGCCCAGAGACCCCTTCACCGCTGGTTCCGTCCAGCCCAGAGACCCCTTCACCGCTGGTTCCGTCCAGCCCAGAGACCCCTTCACCGCTGGTTCCGTCCAGCCCAGAGACCCCTTCACCGCTGGTTCCGTCCAGCCCATGGCCGCCCGAAGGGCCTCCATCGCCATGGCCACCCGAAGGGTCCGCACCGCCATGGCCGCCCGAAGGGTCCGCACCGCCATGGCCGCCCGAAGGGCCTCCATCGCCATGGCCGCCCGAAGGGTCCGCACCGCCATGGCCGCCCGAAGGGTCCGCACCGCCATGGCCGCCCGAAGGGTCCGCACCGCCATGGCCGCCCGAAGGGTCCGCACCGCCATGGCCGCCCGAAGGGTCCGCACCGCCATGGCCGCCCGAAGGGTCCGCACCGCCATGGCCGCCCGAAGGGTCCGCACCGCCATGGCCGCCCGAAGGGTCTCCACCGCCCTGGCCACGCCCATGTCCTGCTCCGCCCTGGCCACGTCCTGCTCCGCCCTGGCCGCCTTCACTTCCTGCTCCGCCCTGGCCGCCTTCACTTCCTGCTCCGCCCTGGCCGCCTGCACTTCCTGATCCGCCCTGGAGGCTTCCCGTCCCAGTTTGGCCACGCCCTGGCCAGCCTTCAGGGCGCCCGCCCCCCCACCCCTTTGATGTTCTACGGCGCGAGGTCGCGCCTTGTTGAAGGGGGGCGTTCTGTCACAGTCTTCGTCTGCACCTGTCTGTCTTAGTCATCTTCACTACACTACCCAGAATCCTCCTTGTCTCCACACCTGTACTCACTCCCTCATTATCCACCTGTCCCTCGTCATCATCATCTGTGTCACCTGTCTTCACCTCGTTAGTGTTCATTTGTCTCTGTATTTAGTTTGCTTCTGTTCATTCAGTCTTTGTCGGTCGTCGTCTATGTATGGTTGTATTAGTGTGAGTTTTGTTTGCCTGCCTGTACCTGTTTTGAGTTAGTTATCAGTAAATGTTTAAATTGGAGCCTTCTTGCCTCAGACTCTTCTTCAACCCGCACCACAACCCGTGACAGTACCCAGTATCGCCAACAAATTTAAAGTTTAGACTGATTAGAAGAGCTAACCTCCATAATGGTGGCTTCAAATAAAACAGCATAAATTAGCACACAACCGCATTAGTAACACTAAACTGGATTTTAAAAGCAAATATAGCCTCATTAATTACCAGCATCAATATTTACATATATATATATTTTTTTTGCCCTGCCTAAATCATTAAATATCCATATTCAAGAGTCAATGGCCACTCCCTCAAACACCACAGTTGAAACAACTCATATATATATATATATATATATATAAAGATATACAAGATATTATATATGATATATTGTAATTAACAGAGCAAAATTTGTACTAAATACACCTTTTTTCTGATGTAGTTTCAGGGGAAGCAGAAGGAAAATGGGTATCAAAGGTCAAGAGAAAGAAAGTTCAAGGAGATCATGTAATAAACCTTTAGAGAACATACATTTTAATTTATGAGTCTCTTGAGAGATTATATAGCTTTCTGAGATGAGAACACCTACAGCCCAACAGCAGAACATATTGGACATTGACATAAAGGTGTTAGCAAGGGTTTAGAAACAATCACAGAAAGGATGTATGCAGTCTGGCATACCTACGCACCAACTGATCCTCACTTTTACTATGCCTTCAGAGGAAAACAATAACTACTCTCTTAAAAGAATATCTACAAAGGTAAATATGTCTTCATTCATGTCTTTATTCAGCACACACACTCTACAGGTATACATTAAAAAAAAATCTGTGCTCTTTTCTTCTATGATGGTGTCTAAAAATCCACCAGAAAAAAAGGTTTATTTTCTTTACCAACACAAGGAAAAGAAGGGCATCTTCAGTATAGCTATTATTGTAATACTGTCTCTCTCACACACACACACATACACACACACAGAGAGAGAGAGAGAGAGAGAGAGAGAGAGAGAGAGAGAGAGAGAGAGAGAGAGAGAGAGAGAGAGAGAGAGAGAGAGAGAGAGAGAGAGAGAGAGAGAGAGAGAGAGAGAGAGAGAGAGAGAGAGAGAGAGAGAGAGAGTGGCCTGCTTTCATTTCAGGCCGCCCCTCCTACCATAGCAGGAGATGCATCTCTGACCACCTGGGATGTTACCCAGCACTGGAAGTGGTAATTGCATTTCAATTATAGGCATGTGTGCGCGTATGTTTATGTGGCGTGTGCCTGATCTTGTGCAATACACACTGTATGTATAGTATAGGACTGTATAGGATTCATTATATAAATAAGAGGAAAAGCTATTCCAAACGAGCATTATTAGTGACCACAAAATACTATCTGCATCCTCAATATGGATGCAGATAGATAAAACTGTCTGTTTTAAGGCCCGTTCACACCAAGGACGATAACTAATTTAGCCTATATTATACGCTGTAATTATACAACAATTATAAAATCATTCTAAATGTAAAGGAATAGCAGAGTTCACTTCACACCACAACTATAATGATAATGCCACAAAGGGAATTATATCATGGAATCACTTTCAAAACTATTTTTCCAGCTTATGAAAGATAAAAACACTGACAGCCAATCAGAATCCATCCTACTTTAAAGACCTTGAACATTTAGAGTGACAGACCACAAAACTGCAGCGCATGCTTATAATGTGCATTGGTGTGGATGCTAATATAGTTAAATGATGGCACCTAGTATACCAATTTCAAACAGTGACCTGGCGACCTCCAATGATAAATCGCTGTCAGCGTGAACGCCCCTTTGCACGTCATAATGGACAGACGCCCAAACAGCTGAGTGAGTGGCCTCTCTCTCTCTCTCTCTCTCTCTCTCTCTCTCTCTCTCTCTCTCTCTCTCATGTACTCACACACTTTATTACTCTGACATCTGGCGCTTTTCACTAATATAATCCCTCTTCCCTTCCCAAGCCTCATGCTTCCCAACATGGACAAACAAGATGGTATCTATCTATCTATCTATCTATCTATCTATCTATCTATCTATCTATCTATCTACTATCTATGTACAGGTAGCTGGAAATAAAATAAGGACAACGTTTCTAGCTATCTGGTAGGAATAACAGGTACTTTGATATAAAATAAAGATGGTATCTATCGACATTATAAATCTATATAATATGAAGAATAGTCAGGTACTTAATGGGCCATAACTGTAAAATGCCAATATCCATCTGCAAATGTTTCCTTCAATACTCCATCTCTTTAATCTTTGGCGATCTTGAGCCACCTGCCATATCTGAGCGCGCGCTCATCTGGACATCAAAGCGGATTTGGCGCGGCCCGCCACAGCGAGCATCAAGTATTGACGATCCATCTACACACTGAGCGACGCGACAAAAGTGGAACGCTTCCGTTATAATCAGCGAATGTAGATGTCCGCGCTGATAGTAACTAAAAAGAACCGACTCACTCCAGAGACATTTGGATGACCCTGCCGCGCTGTATGATGAGTCACTAAAAGGAACGTTTCGTTTAGAAATCGAACTGGACGTAAAGGGTGCTCCGAAAAAAAAAGCACGATCGTGAACGCCACAAAAATTATTTAGTTTCGGTACGTTTTAAAAATGTAAGCGGTCCTTAACCAGAAACGATTCTCGGTTCCCAATCCTACCCATAGACGCGTAGCTATACGACACTAACATACAAAAGGCCTACAAAGTCATTTTTCTACATGCTCTTAAGAGGGAATTGATTGAAAATTCAGGAAAATTGTTCACCACACATTCATTTATTTCGCTAAAGCAAAGTGTTTTGCCATATAATATCACATAGGCCTATTCAAAGCCGCGTCGGTTTAAGTGGTCATTGAAGCAATAGCAAGGGGGTGTGTGGAGGGTGTGATGAGACATTTAAGATCGGTGTGATACTCACTCGCTTTGCCCTGTTTGGGTCTCTGGAGGAGCCGTTGGACGGTAATCAGATCCTCCGTCTTCACCGCCTGCAAGAGTTCCTGTTCTTTCCCCATCCTGTTCAATCACACACTCAAGCACCCTCTCTCACACATGCAGTCATGGCTATACTTTTACATCCAGCGCATCTTCAGGGGACCAGGCGACCATAACGGTGCCGTTAACGCCAGCACATCCTCGCCGTTCATCGTTAAAAGGTCGAGTGCGCAGAGACGCGCAAGACGCGTTTACATGCCCAGTGAAGTGACCAGTGGCGTCCACTCAGTCGCTAACGACGAAAAAAGGTCTTATTGCGTACTGAGGTAACAGAATCCAATCGTTTTCAGGTTAAAGGGACGGCGCGGAAACCTTGCGCGTATTTACGCACGGTGACATGGCTCGTTACAAAAATATCAGATGTTGTATAAATCAAAACGGAAGCCGTCTCTTTGACCCGAAGCTCGTACAGAGACCGTATATATTACGTAAACATCCAGGCAGATGTGCGCGCGGGCGCTGGAGGTTGTAATCCGCTGTCACTTTCTCATGTGCGCATGTATGTGTGTGTGTGTGTGTGCCTGTGTCTGTGTACTATCTGTGTGTATGGCAAGCTGATTTAACATTTATTCTTTAAAAAACTGACTAGAATAAAAAATATAATATATATATGCAGTTAGTACTAGAAAAAACTAATAGTTTATAGTAAAAACATGTAAATATGTGCTGTGCTTTCCTCTCAATAACAAAATAAACACAACAAAAATGAAAGAAATAAAAACCCAGCAAGCATTTTTTTTATAAAGTATAAGAAAAGCATCTGATCATAGCAACATTAATATGTTTGCACAAGCTGTCCAATTCGGTACTCTAGTCAATGGCGTTAACGCAGTCATTGCTCAGAGTCATATAGTGTATACCTTCATGTAGCCACCCACAACATGCACATGCACAACCCTTCAGCACAATGGTAACCACTAAACTTCAACCTTACAGAAAGGTTAACTAAATCAATACATTTGAATTTTTAACCTGCAAGTTTATTTAAGTTGCAGAAATGGGTCTCCTGGATTTCTTTTTGGAGTGGGATGCTAGTCTGGATGACACACTAGTAATTATAAAGTAAGTACTATTAAGGCATTAATATTAAAGCAGCTTGCCATAGTGTGTGTATGAGAGAGAGAGAGAGAGAGAGAGAGAGAGAGAGAGAGAGAGAGAGAGAGAGAGAGAGAGAGAGAGAGAGAGAGAGAGAGAGAGAGAGAGCTTGGGTAAATTGATGGTGCTGCATCAATCAGGGGGCGTGACTAAATAGACCCTTTCCCAAGAGCTGACAGATTAAAAGGGAGGGAAGCAGTGTGTGTTGTTTTTGTGTGTGAGCGAGCGAGTGTGTTTTTGAGGAGAAAGGTCACAGGACAAATTTCAGTGGGGTAGGTACTGACCGAGTACACTGAGCCAAAGGCACGCGGTCCTTTAAAGAAGGGGGGAAGACGCACATTAAATGAACATGTCATTTAAAAAAAAATTTGTTTAGGCTACTCACCCATAGCTATTCCAAATCTGACCTTCTTTCTTCCAGCTGAACACAAAAGGGAATATTTCACAATAAGTTCACACAATATAACAAAAACATACAATGGCAGTGACCACAACCTGGCAAGGTTAAAAAACAGAAAAAGCAACAGCCTGTGAGCAACAGATGAACAGATGAAAATGTAAGTTGTATTTAGTTAAAAACCTTGATGGTGCATCACACTAATGATTATGCTTAATATGCAAATGATGTTCCAGTATGGTGAAACATATGAAAACGTCTATTCCACAGAAGAAAGAAACACAACAGTATTCTCTCTTCTTCTTTTATTTTTAAGTGAGCTGTTCCTTTAAATCTCATTGGTGGCCCTCAGACACTGATAGCCATACTGCTCTGATTAAAATCATATCATTTAATCGCTCTCTTACTCCTTATCTCTGTCATTTCAGACATCATTTTTGGTGACAATCTTACAATTAAAAGTCTGTGATACGATATATTACTCCCTAAGGGTGTCAGCAGAACCAGAGCAGATGTCTAATTTGGGCTCGTTCTAACCCACATCAGTCAGTGGGTAATTAGCCGTTCTTTATTTATTTTGCACTGTCAGTTTTAAGGACTGCAATAACTAAATGAATACCCAGTTATTTGTGAGGTAGAACTTATTATCCAAATTATCCGCAGGGAGATTCCTCCACGCTACCAGTTCCTGGCTCTGTCCGACTTGGAATCTGCTACATTTGTGTTTGCCAACCATAATCACTAGTTCACCAACCGTTACTCCTGCAGAGATTAGTTCCAACTGTAATTCAACACAACTGAAAGAACTAATTCAGCAGGTGTGTTGACTGGGGCTGGAACTAAACCCTTCCAGAAGGTACAGTCTATCCAGGGAAAGGATTGAGCTACAGTAAGAGCGCACTTATTTTTGCAGCATGAAAGTGTAATGTAGTGTAATGCATCCAGATGTGGCTTTTCTTTCCTATTTCTATTTATTCTTAGTGTGGATTCTCATTACTGCAATACAATGATTTATTTTTTATTTAGACAGCGCAATAAATACTATACTGTGTTATTTAAATATATAATTTTTTGCATTGCAGTAAAGAGGGTAAAAATTATTATTTTGCATTACATTAATGATAAATGGGGGGGGGGCAAAAATATTAGGTTTAGATAGATTCTTATTTTAATACTTTTATTCAGCAAGGATGCAGTAAACAGATCTAAAGTGACAGTAAAGACTTTTACCTCTTATTTCTTTCAAATAAATGCTGTTCTTTTGAACTTTCTATCAAAAAATCCTGAAAAAAATGGGTTCACAGTTTCCTCAAAATATTACTGTTTTCAACAATAATAATAAGAATTTTTTTCCTGAGCAGCAAATCAGCATATTAGAATGATTTCTGAAGGATCATGTGACTCTGAATACTGGAGTAATAATGCTGAAAATGCAGCTTTGCCATCATAAGTTACTTAAAAAATATATGAAAATAGAAAACATGTATTTTAAATTGTAATAACATTTGACAATATCACTGTTTTACTGTATTTTTGATCAAATGAATTCGGCCTTGGTGAGCATGAGAGCAAACTCTTATCCGCCATACACTTTTCAAAGCATTAAAGATACTGTGGGGAAAAAAATAGTATCAATATAATAAATAACTCAATGAGAGACAAAAAGTCACCGGAACCATTTACACTGCCATCATTTAAAACTGCCAAGGCCAAAATAAAATGACATACTAGAAAGAAATACTCTGGAAAACAGAAGTCAGAGGTTTTTCTTAACTAATTAACTTTATCATGGGTCAATTGTGGTGCATTTAAAGAAATTAGTTTGCAAATACTCCTGCCACACTGTCAAATAAAGTACTGCTAATGTGAACAGTGACCCCAAACACTAAAGTATACTTATGTCCATGTGTAAGATTGATGCTGACGGTTAGTGCATGTGTGTGTGTTAATGGCTAGCACCAGTGGGTGTTTAAGTAAATGATTCACTTTGTTAAGTGTGTCTAGGGATGTTTTTTAGACTCTGACAGTCACATTAGGTTAGTTAGATCACACGTCTAAATGCTCTGATTATACGTCTAAGCATGTGTGTGTGTGTGTAGCCATTGGTGTTTGTCTCTATGTGCAGGTGCATGTGTAAGTCTCAGAAACCCAAACCAGCAGCAGGGTCTGTGTGTCTTCACGGATGTGTTTCATCTGCCTTGTTGTTTTCATGCAAGTTTGCTTCATTAAACTGATGCGTTTAATGATCAATTCACACACAGAGCTGGCTGACCGGAACGCCTTGTGTCTTTCTAGCCTCTTTGCCTTGTGCTCTTAGTCTGTGTGTAGTGTGTGTGAAGGCAGGACATGGCGTCTAACTCTACCACTAAATTTTCCGCCCTTTCCCAGTCTTTCAGCGTATCTGATATCATTGTAATTGGAGCGTATTTTTTATTGAACGTCGCAGTTGGAATATGGGTGAGACATATTTGTGTATTTGTGTAATTGCATGCGTGTGTATTAGCTGTATCAAACATTATATATATTTTCTGCTGCACAGTGTTTTTACACTCTTAGAAAAAAGGTTCAATGGGGTTGAAAGTACTTTTTGCAGAAAAAGGTTATACATACGGAGAAATTTATTAAATTATTGCATAATACTTTCATGTTTAAGGGATTATTTCATTTTTTTATTCTAGTGATAAAGTATGTTGTTTCATTCATAAAATGTTATTGAAATAAACAATTAGTTTAAAATGATTCATTAATGAATTAAATTAAATCCATAATATGATCCTATGATGGGATGTTGATGTTTTAAAAAAAAAATAGAACAAAATTGTGGATGTAAACTGTGGATTTAGAAAGGAATCTTTTTTTAAACGTTACTTCTAACATCTAAGATATTAGAGTGGGAAATACAAGCCCGTTTACATTTGGCATAAACTCTTGTGTTTCAGTCATCTTGCAGAGTGAGTCGAAACACACTGAGTGGATATTTTCTGGCTGGCAGAGATATGGCTTGGTGGCCGGTGAGTGATAATTAATGTAAACTGAACCAATTGTAGCAATATATAAGCATACATTTACTTTAATTTATATGGTTTAAGCCTTATAATGAGGAGATCAATTACAAATAATCCTTGTTGATTTTTTTTTTTTTTTTACTTTACAACCTAAAAATAAAAACTTTACTTTGGGGAGACCGGGGATGGTTGTAACATTTAAGACCTTTCTGTCTATATCTTGGAGTACTTTTAAGCCAGTGTGTTCAAAATGTGATTCAAACTAGTTACAAGTGTCTGCTATCAAATGACATAACTTTTATCTTTGCAACACAAACAGAAAATGGATGGTTTAGTCCACCCTGGGGTGAGATGTGACATTATGAGATCCACCGGGGTGATATGTAACATAATGTAATAAGGATTTTGACAAAAAACAAACAAAAAAGGATTTTGAAAGCTTTTTATTCAACACTGACTTTTCAATATAACTGATGTGTGTCTGTGTGTGTGTCACTCTTAGTCATAGTAATTGACCACTATAAATTTAACTTGAACACAAAACATTGTTTGTGTGTAAGCTTGTTTGTTACTGTCAGTCATAGTATTGGCCATAATAAAATTTAAATTGAATGTGTGTGTATGTGTGAGACGTGTGTGTGACGTGTGTAAGGTGTTAGGGTTAGGTTGTAACTTTTCATTGTTTGTTACAACTAACCCAGAGTCATGTAGCTATGAACTAGCTCACCTTACAGCTAACAGGCAAAACATTTGCACTAACAACTTACATGAAAAATATCTACACAGACACACAATAAACATAATTTAAATTTGATGAGTTTAACTATAAAGCAGAAATTCCCATAACAAAAATAAACAAAGTAAAAAAAGTTACTTTCATACCTCAAAATTGGGTTTTCCACTCTAACATCTGCTGTGTTTGCCACAGGGCTCTACTTTATTACATGTGGAATAAGGACTAAACTGAGCATGTGCGAAGTGAATCAGGGGATTTGTAACTAGTTCCTGATTGGACAGATTGAAA